CAACAGATATCAATAACAAATAATTTTTAAAGTACGACAGGCTATTATTTATTAGAAATAATAAATATTCTGGAAGCATGTAAAAAAATCAGAAAATATGACTCTGCTATAATTTTTTTATAAATAATTTTCTGTTTTTAATTTTTTCTAAATATTTCCCTAAAAACATATCAACAAATATCAATAACAAACAATTTTTAATTTAAATAGTTTAACAAAAATTCTAACAATTTTTAATTGAATGTTTTAAATATTTCATAATGCTATGCGTAATGCCCCATACACCGCATATGTGAGTAGTTAGACATGATGAAGATGAAAAGGGGCGGAAGGATGGATTGAAGTTTTAACACAAATGTCTGGGTAGTGGTGGTCATACTTGTGTCTGAAGTACTCGTTTAACATTATCCGTTTTTTTTGTTCATTCCATCTACATATATTTTTTTTTCATTTTATTTATTTGTGATGTGGTTTGAAGTTGGCGTTTTTTTTTGCTATGTATATGTGTATATTTTTGCATGTGTCTGTAGGGGTCTCTTCTCTCTGCGGGTAAACCATTTAAAATGATAGGCATTTCAGTTTTTTTGTTTTGTTTTTTTTTTTTTTTTTGCTTTTCTATTTGAATTGACCTGTTTTCAAAGAAGTTTCATTGTGTTTGCCGGTGTCTTTGTTAGTGTTGTGGTGTTGCCGTTGTTTTTGTTGGCTGAGTACTATATAATCGGCCTGTTGTTACTGCCGTTGCTGCTGCATTATAAAGCTGTGTATTTTCCCTACCTGTCTGTCTGCCTGTCCGTCCGTCCGTCCGTTTGTCTCTCTGTGTGGCTTAAAAATTACACGTTTTAGTCACAATCCAGGGGCTCGTTAGATTGTGCATTCAAGCGTGGAGTCCTTTTAACGAGGAGTTGTTGCTTTGGTTGGTAGATAAAGGTACAGCAACAAAAAACAAGAAACATATTTGAGTTTCCATTTTTTTTTAATAATAATAGTTATACTAGGTCACTAGGTGTTCAGGTGTACGTTCGTTCGTTCGTTTCTGTGTGTATGTGTGTCGAGTGTATTTTTTGTACAATAAATTAAAAGGAAAATACTTAGGTCTATATTGCAGCCGACCTTTTTTATGCCATGATTTTGCAGGTTCGCTTTTTTTTGTAGCGTTTGTTGTGTGTATGTGTGTGTGTGTTTTTTCACAAAGTAGAAAGTATAAAATTGTTGCTGGTTGTGTTTTTTATTTGTCGTTTTTTTGTTTCTTTTGTAGTTCGTATTAAAATTATATTTAATTGTAACAAAGATAGAGAGTGGAAGAGAGAGGGAGAGAGTAGCGGATATATACAGTTGTGAAGGGGATATTGGGTGTTTCTTTTTGGGGTTTTGCAGATATGTTGGTATGTAAATTTGTTATTCACAATAATTTTTTACCCGCACAAGGTGGAGCAGTTTTTTATCCACAAAATGTGGATAATTTAATATCCACATAACGTGGATAATTTTTTATTCACATTAAGTGTATAATTTTTTATCTACAAAAGATGGATAATTTTTATCCACATAAAGTGGATAATTTTTATACACATAAAGTGGATAATTTTTATACACACAATGCGGATAATATTGTGGATAAGTTTTCATCCGTGTAACGTGAATTACTTTTTTTCTACATATGTGGATAATTTTTTATCCACATAACTCGGATAATATTTTATCCACACAGTCTAGATAATGCTTTATCCACATAATGTGGATTGTTTTAATCAGCAGATGGCGCATAATTTTTTAACCCGCTTAATTTTGACAAAAAAATTTACCCGCGGTGGATAACGTTTATCCACATATTTTTTTATCTGGAGGTGGTCGGTAATTTTATCCACATAGCGTGGACAATTTTTTTTTATCTGGAGGAGGTAGTTTTATATTTATTTACATAACGTGGATAAATTTGTATATGCATAATGTGGATATTTTTTTATCCACATGACTCGGATAATATTTTATCCACACAGTCTGGATAATGCTTTATCCACATAATGTGGATTGTTTTAATATGCAGACAGCGCATAATTCTTTGCCCGCTTAATTTGGACAAAAAAATTTATCCGCGGTGGATAATGTTTATCCACATATTTTTTATCTGGAGGAGGTCGATAATTTTATCCACATAACGTGGACAATTTTTTTTATCTGGAGGAGGTAGTTGATATTTATTTACATAACGTGGATAAATTTGTATATGCATAATGTGGATATTTTGTTTATCCACATAACTAGGCTAATATTTTATCCACATAGTCTGGATAGTGCTTTATCCACATAACGTGGATTGTCTTTAATCAGCAGATGACGAATAATTCTTTACCCGCTTAATTTGGACAAAAAAATTTATCCGCGGTGGATAATGTTTATTCACATATTTTTTTTATCTGGAGGAGGTCGATAATTTTATCCACATAACGTGGACAATTTTTTTTATCTGGAGGAGGTAGTTGATATTTATTTACATAACGTGGATAAATTTGTATATGCATAATGTGGATATTTTGTTTATCCACATAACTAGGCTAATATTTTATCCACATAGTCTGGATAGTGCTTTATCCACATAACGTGGATTGTCTTTAATCAGCAGATGACGAATAATTCTTTACCCGCTTAATTTGGACAAAAAAATTTATCCGCGGTGGATAATGTTTATTCACATATTTTTTTTTATCTGGAGGAGGTCGATAATTTTATCCACATAACGTGGACAATTTTTATCCACATAATGTGGATAATATTTATTCACATAATGTGAATGTGAATTTTTATCCACAGAATGTGGGTAACTCTTATTCACATTAAATGGATAATTTTTATCCACACCATGGAGATATTTTTTTTATCCACAGAACGTGAATAAATTTTTATCCACGGAATGTATGAATAATTTTTATCCACATAATGTAGACATTTTTTTCCACATAATATCGATAATTTTTTTTAACTATGTTGTATGGATAATTTTTATACACATATTGTGGATAATTTTTTATTCACATATCCGCAATACGGATAAAAAAAATTTCCATCTAAAGTGGATAAAAAAAAATTATCCACATTATGTGGATACAAAAAAATATACACGTTACGTGGATGTGCATATTTCCAATTATAGTAGACAAAAATTGTCCACCTTTTGTGGATAAAAATTATCCACAATATAATACATTACGTGTACAATTTTTATCCATAGAAGTTGGATATTTTTTTACAAATACAGGGTAAGATGAAACAACTGCAACCAATTTCAGACTGCTGTCATTTCTAAGCCACTTGTCAGACAGCTGTTAAAATTATTCCAGTGAAGGCTCATTATATTGTTTACAAGCGTACGAAAGCATTTTGGTGAGAATTTTTCAGAAAAAAAGTTATTTGTGATGGAATTCAAGCATGATAGTGCGATTTCTTTATGTTTGGCTGGAAAACCACAAGTGGCTATCGTTAGAGCACTCCAGCATTTAAATGTGAATAAATTTTTTGTCTCTCATACCATCGCTCGTTACCGAGATACTGGAAGCGTAGACCGACGTCAAGGAAGTGGACGGAAGAAAACAGTAAAGAAGCGACTTGATCTAAACCTGCGTCGCACAGCCCGAATAATGGCTCGTGAGCTGAACATATCGCAATATTTCATTCGGCAAATATTGAAAAATGTGCTCGGAGCCATTGAAATTCCAAAAAGTGCAAAAACTTACACCGCAACCGAAAGAAAATAGACTCAAAAGAGCTAAAGAGTTGCTTCGCTTGGCCGAAAGTGGTGAACTGCCGAATTTGGTTTTCTCCGATGAGAAAACATTCGTGGGCCAGCAGTTTGTAAACAGTTTACTTGCCAAAGAGGTGAGCTGAAAATGTGCATATTCGGTTGGCCACACGAAACTCAAGCGCCGGCTATGGTGATGGTGTGGGCCGCCATAACAGCCGATGGTCGCTCTTCGCTTGTATCAATCGCCCGTGGCATTGGAATAAATGCCGAAGATTATCGCGAAAATATTCTGGAGGGTGTATTAAAGCCTTGGGCACGCAAACATTTTGTGTCGCAGACCTTGGATATTCCAACAGGACTCAGCACCATCGCACTCAGCACGCGCCAACCAATAATGGTTACAAAATTAGGTTCCTCGCTTCATTTCCAGCTCACAATGGCCACCAAAATCTCCGGATACCAATCTGTTAGACTAGTTTGTCTAGAGTATTTTGAAAAGCAAGGTTTCCACTAAAAAATACCAAAGTGTCGATCACCTCAAGCAAGCCCTTCGCCGGGAATGGGCCAAAATACCGCATAGCAACTTTCGGGCAGCGTGTGACGGTTTCATTGGCCTTTTGAAGGCCATAATTCGTGCCAAAGGTAACCAATTCGAACAAATCTAAACCTGTTCTAAAATTTGCTATTTCCGACATTTTTTTCTTTCATTAAATAAAATGAAAAGAAAACAAGTAAAAAAGCTGTAAGTTCGGCCGGGCCGAACTTTTAATACCCTCCACCATTTAATACAAATTTGGAAATTTTTGTCATAAGTTATTACAATGTTTAAATGCGAAACTTGAAGTTATTACAATATTTAAATGCGAAACTTGAAGAAAAATCTGTTTATAATGTAGCTAAAATCATCAAAATACCATCAAATAATTTGAAACAATCCCGGTAATAAATGTCGCTAAAATCATCAAAATACCGAATATCGGGGGGTACGGTATATCGAGGCTATATGAAGACGAAGACCTACATGGCTCATTTCTTGACTTAGGATGTAGTATCCATTACGAACTTCAAAAAATCATCAAAATACCGAATATTGGGTGGTACCGTTATATGGGGGCTATATGATAATTTGGACCTATATGGCCCATTTCCGAACTTAATCTGCCTACTGGCAAAATATACATGTGTGCAAAATTTTAGCCTATCTCAATTTGTTCGAAAGATAGCGTGATTACAACAGACAGACAAACAGACAGACGGACGGACATGGCTAAATCATCTTAGAATTTTACGCTGATCAAGAATATATATACTTTGTTGGGTCTGACATGAGTATTTCGAGGAGTTACAAACGGAATGACAAAATTAATATACCCTCCATAGTATGGTGGAGGGTATGAAAATGTAAAATGTTGTCTTTGTTGCAGTTTTTTTGTCTCACTCTGTATAGTGAATATTTTTAACGCTAAAAGGTGGATATTTTTTCCCCGCACTGTGTGGATAATTTTTTTTCCACTTTACTTGGATATTTTTTGTATCCATGTTACGTGGATAATTTGGTATCCACATAATGCAGATACATTTTTATCCACAAAACGTGTATATATTTTTGAATAACTTATCCATTTAATGTAGATAATTTTTTATCCACGCATTGTGGATAATATTTAAAATTAGTTATTCGCATAATGTAGATATTTTTTTATTCACAGAATGTGGACCATTATGTCCACAGTAGATGGGTAATATTATACATAAAAGTTGGATATTTTTTTATCCAAGTTTTGTAGATAAGCAAATTATAGACGTTATGTCACAAAAATCAATAATTCATTTTATGTGGATAATCAGAAAACACTCGCCTTTACATCCCAACAAATCTACATGAAAAACACACCTTTTTAAGTAGTTTCTCTCGTGTGTTTGTGTGTGTGTGTGTCTGGAAGATATGCATAAAGTTGTGTGCGTGTGTGTGTCTGTTAATTCATTGTTAGTGTCCATGAAGAAGAAGCTCATGTGTATTGGGTTTTTTTCATATTTCCTCATATGAAAAACAACAAAAATATCAATGAAAAAAAGAATAACAACAATGTGGTTCAAAGGCCTTCTCTTCATCACATCCTCTCCTCGCCTCGCCTTGCCTTGCCTTGCCTCACCTCGTTTAGGTCATGTGCCAATCTCCTTTGAGTATCCGGGTAAATGTCTTTTTGAATTGCTGATTGGCAAGGGCATAACAGAACGGGTTCATGGGACTGTTGGCATAGCAGAGGAAATAGGAAAACATGTACAGGTGCTCGTTGGTGCAGGGCGGGTTCCGGCAAAAGCCCTCGACCAGGGCCAGCACATGATAGGGCGTCCAACAGGCCACAAAACAGCCCAGGATAAACGAAATGGTGCGAAAGGCCTTGCGTGCCCTATTCTCCGATTTCGATTTCTGTCGACCCACTCCAATGACCAGGGGTATGGTGGCCTTTTTACTTTTGAAATGTTTGCTAATCGACTGCATGAAATCCCGTTTGCTGGAGCTGCGACTACCGCTGGAGGCGGCATGCTGTAAATGATGATGGGGATGGGGTTTCTTTTGTAGCTTTAGGGAAGAGGATTGGCGCTGCGGTGCCGGCGGTTGGGTGGTGGTACCCGAACCCGAACTTGTACCCGATGTGGAAGCCATTTTTTGTGTGGTGTCTGAAGTTTCTCGTTCATCGATTTTGTCCAGACTCTTGGAGGTGACCACAGGTGGGTGGTGCTGCGTTGTTGTTGTTGTTGTTGCTGTGGTCACGCTGCTGGTTGGTGCTGCCGTACTGCTGATTGTTGTCCCACAATGATTGTTGTTGTTGTTATTATTATTGTTCTTGGTGGTGGTGGTGGTTCGGCCACGTTTGTCTCCCACTGAGGAGGAGGAGGGGGTTGCAGCGGGTGACGCCTTTGTTGTTGTCATCTTTGTCGTCGCCGCCGCCGCTGCCGCTGTTTTGCTGCCATTGCTTTGTGTGGTTATTGAAGTATATTTCAATAGCCCCGCATCGGCACTGTGATGCCGTGGAAACATCAGACTGCTGGCATCGATGCAACTCTCCCGACGCACCCTCTCAAAGTCCTCCAGACCTGTATAGGAAATAAGTAAATGTTTTTCAATTTCAACATCGCTGCCGGTTGGATGAGGGGAATGGGGGAGATTAAAGTTGATTTCGGTGGTATTGGCAGAGGTGGTGGACTGAATGTTGGGGTCGAGATTATTGTCGTCAACTTGTTGAGTGGGGGTTGCAGCTGTGGTCTTGGCTTGGGCAGCAACTTTTTGCAAAGCCTGACTCAACAGCGTGGGACTGCTGGCCATTTGTTTGGCATGCCCAGCATTGCCGGCACTTGGGAGTTTATTTGTTGTCATGGCACTGCCGTTGGTGTTGGTGGTGACAGCAGTGGTTTTGGGTGCTTGGGAACCTGCGATACCGCCATTGTTATAGGTATAGGTGGGCGAGGCCATTGCTATGGAACTTTCGTCCATAAAACGCAATTCCGAATTATTGGCCATCACATCATAGGTCAAATGCAATTCACTGTTACTGCTGGGATTTTCCGAACCGTCCGAGAGCAGGGAGCTGCACTGAAACTGTTCCGGCGGAGGGAGAATGGCATGCACCAAACCGGGTTGAACCTGTTCACGTGGCACCACAATCGGTGCCAAATTCACCGGAGACAGTGGGGATTCATCTGGGGGGACTTTGGATTTATTGTGGGAGGATGGAGGTGAGGTTGAGGACCTTACGGCCTCGGACTGGCGTTCTGTTTCAACAATCTGGGATAGGGTGGCACAGGAGGTCCTTTTCATTTTATCCGAGGCCGATGCTGCTGGGCGACTCAGTTCCTCTTTGCTTTGGGTTCTTTCAATTTTCTGACTGGGATGGGGAGAACTGGCCCCAGATGAGAGGGCAGCCATGGCTTCACTGGACTTGGAGGTGGGTGTACACATACCTTTGCTGCGTGTGGCTATTAGCGCCGCCTGGGCTCCAAATACCAGGCCAATGGAAGAACGTTTACGCAAATTGGCCACTTTTTGCTGCTGCTGCTGTTGCATCAGCTGTTGGGCCTGATTGACGGAACTCTCCTCATCCGAATCAAAGGCCGGACTGCTGGAACGTTCACTCTTCTCCACCTCACCGGAGTCGTTTTTCGAACCCTTGTTGACCTTGCCCTCAGAGATGCGTCGTTGTTCCTCGGCAGCCTTTGTTTCAACCAAAGCCTGGGCCAATGGGTTGGCCTGCCCTGAACCCCGTTTGGTGGCCGAAATCTGCTGCTCACAGCCATCCTTGTCCTGTGAGCCGCTTAACTCCACTTTGGTTTTCAAAATTTTCTCCTCAATGGCACCAATTCCCGCCGCATGTCCCGCCATGCCGGACATGGCCCCCGCACTAAGAGCAACCATTGATTGCATTTTCCGCTGCTTGGCTTCACTACGTTTTTGCATTTCATAGGCGGTCTTATAAATTCCGCCATACAAGACGAACAGCACAATCAGGGTTGTCCAATAATAACCGATGATGAGGGCCGTATTAAAGACCGGGTCCTTGAGAAACTGTACAGCACACTGGCCGGGCAGCAGATCTCGCTTGCCCGTAAAATGTTCCCAACCAAAAATGGAAATGAAGAAGAGCAGGGCCGGAATAATCCAGGTTATGGTAACCATATAAATCACGCGACGCTTGGTGCGCCAGCTCCGATATTTGGCAGCAATTTTCACCGAACAATAGCGATCGATGGTTATGAGTAGCACCGTGTACTGGGAAACCAGACACACTGTGTAGTCCACCGAAAGCCAGAGGTCGCATAGCAGTGGGCCCAGATCCCAATAGCCCATGAGAACGTAGACGGTGTAGAAGGGCATGGAGACGGTGCCTGAAAAAATCGGAAAAAAATTAAGTCGATTTTTAAAGAATAATTGCGGTTAATAGTCCTTGAGAAATATTTTATTAAAAAAAAATATTTTTTTTTAAAAAATCCACGTTTATAAGGCTGGTAGTCCCTGAGAAATATTTTATTAACAAAATATTTTTTAAAAAATCCACGTTTATAAGACTGGTAGTGCTTGAAAAATATTCTTTTTATAAAATCTACGTGTATGTGGATGATAGTCCTTGAAAAATATTTTTTAAAAAAATCCACGTTTATAAGACTGATAGTCCTTGAAAAATATTTTTTTTTATAAAATCTACGTGTATGTGGATGATAGTCCTTGAAAAATATTTTTTTTTTATAAAATCTACGTTTATAAGACTGGTAGTCCTTGAAAAATATTTTATTTATAAAATCTACGTGTATGTGGATGATAGTCTGTAAAAAATAAATTTTTAAAAAATCCACGTTTATAAGACTGTTAGTCCTTGAAAAAAATTTTTTTTTATAAAATCTACGTGTATGTGGATCATAGTCCTTAAAAATATTTTTTAAAAGATCCACGTTTATGTGGCTGATAGTCCTTGAAATATATTGTTTAAAATATCCACGTTTATGTCGCTTATAGTCCTTAAAAAATATTGTTTAAAATATCCACGTTTATGCCGCTGATAATCCTTGAAATTGAGGCTGATAGTCCTTTGAAAATATTTTTCCTAAATCCACTTTTATGAGGCGGATAGTCCTTGAAAATATGTTTTTTTGAATCCACGTTTATGTGGCGGATAGTGCTTTTAAAATATTTTTCCTAAATCCATGATAAGTCCTTGAAATCCTCGCTAATAGTCCTTGAAAAATATTTGTTTAAAAATCCACTTTTATGTGGCTGATAGTGCTTAAAAAATATTTTTTAAAGTATCTACGTTTATGTCGCTGATAATCCTTGAAAATGAGGCTAATAGTCCTTATAAAATATTTTTCCTAAATCCACGTTTAAGTGGCTGATAGTCCTTGAAAATATTTTCCTAAATCCACGTTTATGTGGCTGATAGTCCTTTGAAAATATTTTTCCTGAATTCACGTTTATGTGGCTGATAGTCCTTTTAAAATATTTTTCCTATATCCACGTTTATGTGTCGGATAGTCCTTTGAAAATATGTTTTTTTGAATCCACGTTTATGTGGCGGATAGTCCTTTGAAAATATTTTTCCTGAATTCACGTTTATGTGGCTGATAGTCCTTTTAAAATATTTTTCCTAAATCCACGTTTATGTGGCGGATAGTCCTTTGAAAATATGTTTTTTTGAATCCACGTTTTTGTGGCCGATAGTCCTTTGAAAATATTTTTCCTAAATCCACGTTTATGTGGCTGATAGTCCTTGAAAATATTGATTAAAATATCCATGTTTATGTCTCTGATAATCCTTGAAAATGTGGCTGATAGTCCTTTGAAAATATTTTTCCTAAATCCACGTTTATGTGGCTGATAGTCCTTGAAAATACGTTTTTTTGAACCCACGTTTATGTGGCGGATAGTCCTTTTAAAATATTTTTCCTGAATTCACGTTTATGTGGCTGATAGTCCTTGAAAATATGTTTTATGTGGCGGTCCTTTGAAAATATTTTTCCTAAATCCACGTTTATGTGGCTGATAGTCCTTGAAAATATTGTTTAAAAAATCCACGTTTATATCGCTGATAGTCCTTGAAAAATATTTGTTTAAAAATCCACTTTTATGTGGCTGATAGTCCTTGAAAAAAATTTTTTAAAAAAAGTCACGTTATGTGGCTAATAGTCCTTAGAGAGCATCAACATTTATTTAAAAAAATTTTTTCAAGGGAATAAACTTTACATATTTATAGATATTTTTAAAGACCTACTCACCTATCAGCATATCCGTGGCCGCCAGCGATGCAATAAAATAATTGCTCGGCTGTCGTATATTTCGATCGACAATAAATGCCAGCAGGACCAAAATATTACCACCCACTGTCAAAATGATGCATATGGCCAAACACACAGCAATCGCTATCGTTTGCCACAACTCAAATGGTGGCAACACCAAGGCCGGACCTTCGGTCTCTGTGCCAATGTTTCCATATAAACTTGTACTATTTGTTGTTGCCGTCGACGTGCCATTCACATAGGCAGCCAAACGCTCCAAATCATCAGTGGTCCACAGATTCAATTCACCATTTTCTCCAATATACGGCCGATACAATTGGGCTGCTTTGAGCAGACGTTTACATTCGTTATGTTCGACAAAACGATTGTAAATCGAACGGCAGAGATTTTCACGTTCCTTTTTAAGGCGCCTGCAAAGAGAGGAGAGAGCAACATTTTGGTTAAGGAAGAGAGTCTTAATGTGTGATTTTAATCGTTATTAATATGAGATTCTCTCGCAACTCACCATTGTGTTATAAAGTCCGGCTTAATTGAGTAAATTGGATCTGTTTTATTATCGATTTCACCTGAGGCAATATCAAAATCCTCCATTTCATTTATTGCACCGGAAGTTTTCATGATTCTGTTTGATTTCACCGTTTTCCGTTCATTGCCAAATGTTTGTTTTTATTATTTTGTAATATTGTCATTAAGATTACGGAGTAGCGAGCATTAGCTGTAAACAGAAATGAAAAAAAAAAAAGAAATAATTGCATTATAATTGTTTAAAACAAATATTTAATATAATTAACTTATTCATTTGTATGTACGTCATTCTGTTATAATCAGGATCCCTGTCCCAATATATGAGCGAAATCTAAAAGCTTAAAAAATGTAGCTGCTTGCTACTAATAACTAGAATTACATGAAATTGCTCTAGTTGAGCCATCTGTACCCAAACAAGTCGTCCGTCCGCCTATATGAATGGCTGGAGCATACCATAATTTTTAGAGAGAGGAAGCATCGGATGCTATCAAACTTAAATTATATTTAAAGAAGGGGCAAAACGATCCAGGCCTTGTTACATCACAGTGCTCAAAACCCCCATTTTTGGCAGTTAACACACATTTGGCAGCTAACACATTGAAACTAAAAACTAAAAAAAAAACAAGTAAAAAAGCAGCTAAGTTCGACCGGCTCGAATTTGTAATACCTTCTACCATTTGGAAGGAAATTGTTAATTTCAAAAAAAAATCCCAAAACCACCAATTAAACGAAAACCGTTATATGGGGACTATACGAAGACGTGGACCTGCATACAAAAATTGTGTCATAGGCTTACGAACTTCGAATACTATATTTGAAATAATTCGGGTAAATAATGTCGCTAACATCATGAAAATACGAAGACGTGGACCTGCATACGAACTTTTTTGCCCTAGGTTGTAGTACCCGTTAAGATCTTCCAATACGAAATTTGAAACGATTTTGGTGAATAATGTTGCTAAAATCATCAAAATACCGAATATAGGGAGGTAGCGTTATATAAACCTTTATAAACTTCAAATACGAAATTTGAAATTATTCCGGTAAATAGATTCCCTAAAATCATGAAAATACCGAATATCGAGAGGTACCGTTATAAGGGGGCTGTACGAAAACGTGGAACGACAGTTCGTTCGAAAGATAGCGTAATTACAGCAGACAGACGGATAGACAGACGAATATCGCTAGATCGTTTTAGAATTTTACGCTTGTCCAGAATATATATATTCTTGGTAGGGTATATTATGAATATTTCGAGGAGTTACAAACGGAATGACAAAGCTAATATACCCTCCATAAAATGGTGGAAAGTATACAACGGGTCCCTGAGCGTGTGGCAAAACATTGCATGTATAGGTCCACGTTGTGGTATAGCCCCCATATAAAGGTACCTCCCGATATTCGGTATTTTAGTTTTTTTGCCACATTTTTTCACGGATTTGTCTAAAAATTAGTATTTGTGGGTCATAATGGTTTCCAGGTCCGGTGGCGAAACATTGCATGTATGGGTCCATGATTTGGTATAGCCCTCATATAACGGTACCTCCCGATATTCGGTAATTGAATGATTTTTGCAATATTTTTTTACGGATTTGTCTGACAATTGGTATTTGTTGGTCATAATGGGTTCCAGCTCCGGTGGCGAAACATTGCATGTATGGGTCCATGATTTGGTATAGCCCCCATATAACGGTACCTCCCGATATTCGGTATTTTGATGGTTTCTGCCACATTTTTTCACTGATTTGTCTAAAAATTGGTATTTGTGGGTCATAATGGGTCCTAGTTCGTGTGGCGAAACATTGTAATTATAGGTCCATGGTTTGATGTAGCCGCCATATAACGGTACCTCCCGATATTCGGCATTTTAATGGTTTTTGCCACATTTCTTCTAATGTTTCTTTTACCCTAAGGTGAAGGGCATTAAAAGTTTGGCCCGGCCGATCTTAATGTTTTTTTACTTGTTGTTTTCCAATTTTGAAGAATATTTTATTCGATTTATGGTTGTTAAACTAATTTTTCGAAAGGATTAATTTTTCTGAAAGCGGTCCTAAACCTAATCCTTAGGAAGAGGATAACCTGACATGTCCAAAACATCCCCCACATTTTAAGCAGTTTTTAAGAGTTGATGGTCTCTTGAGGATGGTTGTCCAGAAGCAGTAAATTATTGCCAAGTTTTAGGCACCTCACACCTCTTCTCTATTGCCAATATAATTGAGTTCTATCTGTAAGTTTTACACCCTAATGGAAGAATATCTTCCATTCTTTAATTTTTTTTTTAATTTCCAACACCTTCGTTGTCCAGGGAACAAGAATTACGGTAATTGAATTGGCAACACTATTACGCAGTTAGTTTGTCTAATCCCTTGAGCTTGCCTGAGCACTCCCCTTTGGACAAAATTGAGGTTGGACTAACTCTAACCACAGTTGCCAATAATTGAATTATTCAATGAAATTTGTTGTTGTGGTTGTTGTTTTCTCCCGCTCCCGCTGATGCTGCTGTATTTGAGAGATGGCCTTAATGATTTTCTATTTGCCACTAAATTGCCATATAATTTAATGCAGTCATGTTTTAGTTGCAACCTATTCCTAGAATATCACTCAGTTATAGGGCCATCCCATCCATCTGACAATCCATAAAGCAAGTCCTCACCCTATCTTCTTTCCCTCTTTCGCAAACAAGAACACCTTGATGTTGTTTATTTGATTTGTAAGTAAAATGCACTTTTCCTACGTTACGGTTTTTCATTTTCCTGTTTTTAGGTCTCCCTCCCACCCCGTGCTATTTGCAAGGATAATGTGGGGGGAAATTTATGCCTGGTTTCGAGTGTATTTTGTATTCCATTCAATTTTTTTTCTGTTTTTGACAGAAGGGTCTGAGCGGAAGTAAACGTTGTAGTTTTACATTCTCCTAAGTATTACTAAGACTTCCCAAGGATGTTGCTGCACAACTTGAGTTTGAGTATTTCGTTTTGTTCAAGTGGTGGGCCAAAAGATGGATGAATGGTTGTATGGATGGTTGTTTCGTTTGATTTTTTCTGCAAAATGAGAAAAAAACTGTTGCATTTCCTTTGCGAATGTTGTTTTAAAAGGATAGAAAATTTTGTTGCGCCAAGAGATAAAAACTTGCCGCTCACAGGGCCATAAAGCAGGGGCAGACGGCAGCTGAATTCTACTGGTTTCCGCATTGAAAATTTCATTAAACTTAGAGAAATCTTGGTTTTTGGTACAGGTAATGGTGGTGGTGAAGGTAAAAGAGAATTTAGTTCATCAATAAAAAATAGATGTGGATATTAGGGAGGAACGCCATAGAATTTTAATCAGTTTTTCCCCTCTAGAAAAAAATTACAGTTTCTTTCGCTGAGGGAACTACACTTTTTCCTCTAGGAAACCCACAGTCCCTCCAAGGGCACTCCGTCCAGAAAAAATGCACAGTCTCACAGAAGAAATATATCTTCTCCGTCCAGAAAAAAAATCACAGTTTCACGCTGGGGAATGCATTTTTCCTTAAAAAAAAAATAAAAAAAAATCCAAATTTTCCCTCCCGCGACTGTATTTTTTCCGCCTAGAAAAATATCCACAGTCTCCCGCTGGAGGATTGTGTTTTTTTCTGACTACTAAAATATTCACAGCCCCCGAGGGATTGTATTTTTTTCCGTCTAGAAAAGAGAACCTCAGTCGCCGAGGCGACTTCATTATTTCCGACTAAAAAAAGTCTTCAGTCCCCGAGTCGACTATATTTTTTCCGTTTAGAAAAAATCCGCAGTCCCCCAGGTATTTTACCGTCTAAAAAAATAACAGTCTCCAGTCTCCAGCCGAGGGAATGTATTTTTTCCTTCTAGAAAAAACTCTAGAGTCCCCGAGGGGACTGTATTTTTCCCGTCTAGAAAAAAACCCTCAGTCCCCGAGGGGACGGTCTAAAAATTTTTGTTGTCCCCGAGGACTGTATTTTTTCCGTCTAGGAAAAAATCCTCAGTCCCCGAGGAGAATGTATTTTTTCCGTCTAGAAAAAATCACAGTCTCCCGCCGGAGGAATCTACTTTTTTCCGTCTAGAAAAAAATTACCGTCTCCCGCAGGGGGAATCTACTTTTTTCCGTGTAGTTCCAGAGAGGACTGTAGTTTTTCCGTCTAGAAAAAAGAACTTCAGTCGCCGATGCGACTTCATTTTTTCCGACTAAAAAAAAAATCTTTAGTCCCCGAGTCGACTATATTTTTTCCGCTAAGAAAAATCCGCAGTCCTCCAGGTATTTTTTCGTCTAAAAAAATAACAGTCTCCAGCAACCCTCAATCCCCGAGGGGACGGTCAAAAAATTTTGTTGTCCCCGAGGACTGTATTTTTTCCGTCTAGGAAAAAATCCTTAGTCCCCGAGGAGAATGTATTTTTTCCGTTTAGAAAAAAAGCAAAGTCTCCCGCCGGTGGTCTGTATTTTTCCGTCTAGAAAAAAATCACAGTCTCCCGCCGGGGGAATCTACTTTTTTCCGTGTAGTTCCAGAGGGGACTGTATTTTTTCCGTCTAGAAAAAAGAACTTCAGTCGCCGAGGCGACTTCATTTTTTCCGACTAAAAAAAAATCTTCAGTCCCCGAGTCGACTATATTTATTCCGTTTAGAAAAAATCCGCAGTCCCCCAGGGTATTTTTCCGTCTAAAAAAATAACAGTCTCCAGCTGAGGGAATGTATTTTTTCTTCTAGAAAAAACTCTAGAGTCCCCCAGTGGACTGTATTTTTCCCGTCTAGAAAAAACACTCAGTCCCCGAGGAAACGGTTTAAAAAAAATGTGTCCCCGAGGACTGTATTTTTCCGTCTAGAAAAAAATCCTCAGTCCCCGAGGAGAATGTATTTTTTCCGTCTAGAAAAAACACTCAGTCCCCGAGGAAACGGTTTAAAAAAAATGTGTCCCCGAGGACTGTATTTTTCCGTCTAGAAAAAAATCCTCAGTCCCCGAGGAGAATGTATTTTTTCCGTCTAGAAAAAACACTCAGTCCCCGAGGAAACGGTTTAAAAAAAATGTGTCCCCGAGGACTGTATTTTTCCGTCTAGAAAAAAATCCTCAGTCCCCGAGGAGAATGTATTTTTTCCGTCTAGAAAAAAATTCAGTCTCCCGCCGGTGGTCTGTATTTTTCCGTCTAGAAAAAAATCCACAGTCTCCCGCCGGGGAAATGCATTTTTTCCGTCCAGAAATAATACACA